TCTCTGGATGCTTTTTTCCCTTTGCCTAAGTGAAGGAGCAAAAAAATGTTAAGATATCAAAGTTATCAATTTCTTCTCTCTCCCCCAAGGAAGCAAAGAGATGCAGTCTTTCCAGTTTAGCAGCCCCAACCAGAAGACCAATTCCCCCACCAGGTGATTTCTTGGACTTTTTGTGATGAAGAAATAGAAAATGAACTGCAGAGGACATTATCTCAAAGGTGGACAAATAAGCAGAAGTATGTAGAAGTATGTAAAGAGAGAGAAGTTAGACTAATGTACATAATAAAGAACTAAAAGATACTGGGGAGAATCAGAGGGGGGAAAATGAGAGTATTTGAAAGCATTTTTGCAAGTAAGAGGCTGCAGAGATATTAGGGTGTGGGTGTATAAGAAAATTGAAAAGATATGAGAGGACATAAAAAGTATTGCTGGTTGTATAAACTGGATTCTATTTTATATTTTTAAAGGGACATAAGATAAACATGGAAAATATTTTTAAATTATTTAAGCTTTTTTTACTACAACTCCTTGCAACAATCAGACCACTTGGGTCATAATGGTTACCTCTGAGGAGCTTTTCCATGATGATGGAAGTATGGAGGCATGTTTAACTCTACCTAGATCTAAACATGCCTGAGATCTGAGCCAAGAAATGTTCATTTCTGGCATCCAGACTGTTAGAAAAATCATGCAAAGAAATTGAGGTAACTCAGCAAGAACAGTAATGGTGTTTGAAATATCCCCTTATATGAGAGAGAGCTGAATTGATTCCCTTAGAGTCAATGGGTGTGGTGACCTTCAAGAGGCAGTGTTTCAAATGGAAAATTGGAACTGTGCTTGCTGAGCAGTTTCTACAGTACATAAGATGTCCTGTGAGAAATCCCAAGGGAAAGTGGCCCACATAGGGCTGTGTGTACACATGTGCTGTCTAACACAATATTTCTCACCTTGTGTTTTTTAAAAATGTAAAACTTGTAAGTTTTCTGTAGAAAAGTTGCAATAATAGTACAGGGAGTTCCCATATACCTTATGACATTGTTGCTATTATTATTATTATTATTATTATTATTATTACTAAACCATTTGATAGCAAATTATAGATGTCATGGCCTTTTATTCCAAAATATTTAATTATGATGCAAAAATTTTAAGGAAAGTTCAATTGTTTCTAGAGCGATAAGGCACATAACATACATGAGCAGTTCAGTAGAGGTAGGAAGACCCTAGATCTGGAGGTGGCTCAGGATTTCGCGGAGGCGATAGGGTGGGTCCCAAAGGAGAAAGACTTAATTATGGAATAAATATGCTAAGGAAATATTAGAGAAATGGAAATGTTTAGATTTCTTTGTTTCTCTTTCCATGAATGGCCTGTTTCCTCCAAAATACTTCCTCTATTTGTTGATCTTAGTCTCTGTCTTTCATATTATTTATATTCATATTTCCTCAAATACATGGTGATCCTTGATTGTCTACTTGTATTTAAGATTTGAATACTAGAAAGCTGATTGGCATCTCTGTGCATGTGGATGGGACTTAAAGACAATTTTTCTCTGCAGGGTGTTCTGATTGCTCCATTTCTTTGGGCAATTCCCCATGTCATTATCTTTTAGTCTTTTCTGTTGGGGTGGTCAGTTTCCTCACAAAAGAGTCTTCCAATCTTTCCCCTGTAGTAAATCTAACTGGCAGTAATCTCAACGACTAGGATGGGGTGGGTGTCAAAATTGAGTGTGTAAACATTCTTATAAATGAATTTTTCTGTTTTAATTTGATATGGTCCAATTGATTAATTATTCCTTTTATGGGTTGTGTTTTTGTTTTCATGTCTAAGAACCCATTACCTATCCATAGATCCCAAAGATTTTCTCCTGGTTTTTTTTTTCTTCAAAAGTTTTAGTTTGACTTTACAATTAAGTCTGTGATTGATTTTGAGTTAATATTTGTGTAAGATGTGAGACTTAGATTGAAGTTCAGTTTTCTGCTTATTGATGTCCAATTGTTCCAGTAGCATTTGTTAAAGAGTCTTTCTTACCTGCATTGAATTGATTTCACACATTTATCACAGTTCAGCTGGGCATATTTGTATTGATTTACTTCTCTGTTTTCCATCCTGTTACATTGATCTACATGTCCATATATCTGCCTACAGCACTCAGTCTTGACTACTATGGCTAATTAATGTCTTGAAGTTGGATAGACCAATTTTTCTCACTGTATTCTTGTTTTTTAAAATTGCTTTACCTATTGTACTTTCTTTGCCTTTGTCTATAAATTTTTGAATAATCTATATATACCAAAAAATCTTGCTCTCATTTATTTAGATCTTTGATTTCTTTCCTCAACATTTTGTACTTTTCAGCATAAATTACTGTACATGTTTCATTAAATTTACACCTAGACATTTCTTTTTATTAGTGATTATAACTGGTATTGCATTTTTAATTTCAGTGTTCATGTACTCGTTGCTAGTATATGGGAATACAATTGATTTTTGCATGTTTTTCTTGTATCTTGCAATCTTGTTGAAATCACTTAGTTCTAGGAAATTTTTTTGGTGCCAACTTGGGGTTTTCTATGTGTATAATCATGTCACCTGCAAATAGAAACAGTTTTAGTTCTTCCTCTCCAATCTGTATGCCTTTCATTTCCCATTATTACCTTATTGCAATAACTTGAATTTCCCTCACTATGTTAAATAAGTGTGGTAAGAGTTGCCATCCTTTCTTTTTTCCTGATCCCCAGAGAAAAGCATTCTGTCTTTCACTATTAAATATAATGTTAACTGTAGGGTTTTTGTAGATTTTTTTATCACTTTGAGGAAGTTCCTCTCAATTCCTAGTTTTTATCATGCATGGGTGTTGGATTTTGTCAAATTCTTTTTCCTGAATCAATTTATATGACCATATCGTTTTTTCTTCTTTAGCATATTAATATGTTGGCTTACACTTATTGATTTTTGAGTACTGAACCAGCTTAACATCCTTGGGGAAAAAGTCTCACTTGGTTATGATGTATAATTCTTTTAATATATTGCTGAATTTTATTTGCTAATATTTTGTTAAAGATTTTCCCATCTACATTCATAAGAGATATTAGCATGTAGTTTCCTCTTTTTTTTTTTTTTTAAAGATTTTTATTGGGAAATTGGGGGGATGGGAACAGCGCTGGGGAATTGGGGGAGGGGAACAGACAAGTTGCTATCCTTTTGTTCTTCAGTCTAGTTATGGAGGACGTTGTTTCACTGGCCCAAGTTGGCACCATCATTGCACTCTTCCCGGGCGAGGCAGATCAGTCGCCGTCTTCTGGACGGCCGCTCACTGTGGCTGTTGGCCGCTCACGCTGGCTGCTGGCTACACACCGTAGCCCATGGCAACCCACTGCCACAGGGGCTGCAGCCTATGCCGTCACCGGCGACTCATGGCAGCCCAGCTCCAGGTTGAGCTGTTGTTCAGCGTCTTAGCTGTGGAGGGCAGTGTCACTGGCCCTCATATGTGGGATCCGAACCGGGGCTCTCTGGCGTCCCAAACCAGTTCTTAACCATCGCGCCACTCGGCCGGCCCTGCAATTCTTTCTTGAAACCTGCCCCTCCATCCCAGGTTTTATTTATAGCTTAAAAGTGCTTCATCTATTTTTTAGAAGTTCAGTTGTTTTTCGGATCTGATTTTTTTTTTAATATTCTAGTGGGAAATTGGGGGAGAGAACAGCGTTGGGGAATCGGGGAAGGGGAAAAGACAAGTTGCTGTCCTTTGGTTCTTCAGTCTAGTTATAGGGGACATCGCTTCACTGGCCCATGTTGGTATTGTGATCATTGCGCTCTTCCTGGCTGAGGCAGTCGGTCGCCAGCTGTTGGACGGCTGCTCACGGTGGATCACGGCAGCTCACACTGGCTGCCGGCAGCCCACGGTAGCTCATGGCAGCCCACTGCAGTCCGGCTGCAGTCTACACCATTGGTGACTCACAGCAGTCCAGCTCCAGGTTGAGCTGTTGTTCACCATCTTAGCTGTAGAGAGTGCAGCGTCACTGGCCCTCATGTGGGATCTGAACCGGCGGCCCTGATGCTCAGAGCTTGTGCTCTCAAGCCAACTCTTAACCAACTGAGCCACTTGGTCGGCCCATCGGATCTGATTTTTAAAAATAGATTTCAGCATATGAAACTATTTCATATCTGTGAAAACAAGTTTCATAAACTCCTAAATATAATTTTTGTATCTGTGAAAATGTGTATTTTTGAAATTACTGAAGCCCCAATCTATGTTAATATTTAGACTTGTTGTCTTAGATTTTTAAAAGTATGTAAGTCCAAACTTTGCCATCAATCTCTTTATGTTCACAATTTGCTGCTAAGATTTTTTGTTTAGTCATTTTTTTCCTCATTGATCTCTCTGTAGGCTATTTAAACACATTATACATATTTTTGTGGTTTACTTTCATTAAACTATACACTCTTTGTAGGAACAGATAGAGATGTCTTTCAATGTTATTTAAAAGCTATTGAAGTTAGTTAATTCAAAGCAATCGATACATAATAAAGTTAAAGTTAATTTGGCAAGGTCATAGTCATTTCTAAAATCAGCTTTATTTGTGCGAAGTATCTCTGAGGAAATGTTACTACTTCAAGGTGTCTTGTGTCACTAAGACAGAACCACCTGGGGCCCCCACCCTACCCCCATCTGTATCCTTTTACATGGTGTTCTTTTTCTCTATATCTATTTATCTTCATTTGACACACTATATATTTTACTTGTTAATAGATTCCAGGCTTGTAGTCCCAAACTTGGTCTGAATCGTTCGTTTGCTGATACATCCACAATTTGTGCAATAGTAGCTGGCACACAGTAGGTCTTAATTAAAGGTTAAATGAAAGTCCATCCAAAGAACCTAAAAATTACCTAAGGTTCAGAACCACTGATAAGAGCTGTAATGCAGAAGCACATTAATTACAAGACATCTAAAAGCGAATTACTTTTTTTGAGATTTTTTTCCCTAGACCTTCCCTCCTTTAACATGGTGATTAAAGCTAGCTGGCCTGGGAGTAGCCTCCATCTATCAACTTTTGGTCAGTGAAGAGGTTTCAGAGAAAATAACACAATTATCAGTCAGTAAAAGGGGCGGGGGGCAGAAAGGAAACAACTTAAGCAGTAGCTTCAATGGGGCACTCCCGGGCTAAGTGCCCGGCCTCGCCACAGCGGTAGCAGTTGATCTCAGTGGTCTTGCTGCAGGCCGTGGCCATATGGCCCATCACGCCGCACCGGTAGCACTTGATTTGGGTGCACTCTTTCTGAATATGGCCATATTCGCCACAACAGTAGCACTTCCGCTGTTCCTGCTGGTCACAGTCGCGAGCCAGGTGGCCTGGTCTGCCACACGTGTAACAGCACAGCTCTCTCTCGCGCTTGGGTTCGGCGCAGTGTTTGGCGATGTGGCCACTTCTCCCACAGTTGTAGCAGATGTTCTCGACAAGGTCACAGCTCCTAGCATGATGCCCAGACCCACCGCAGCGGTAACAGATATCAGTTGGCGTGCTGGAACTGCATTGAGAACCTCTGCCACGGCCTCTGGTCCCGCGGCCTCGCGCCCCTCCGCCTATAGGGCATTCCCGGGCCCAGTGGCCTAAGCGTCCACAGTAGGAGCATTCCTTACTGCTCATGGCTGCAGTGACATGTGAGATCTTCCAGTGAAGGGGGTCCACCAGCGCCCAGGAGGTCCTGATGTAACTCTCCGTGGGGCGGCTCAGAAAATAGTGGCTGTTTTTCTCTAGGGGCCTCCGCAACGTCACACAAGGTTTGTGCACGGCCCCATTCATACGTCACAGGCGTCCCAGCGGGCATTCCTTCCTATCCTTGAAGCCAAAAGCCCATCTCAGTGATGTTTTTCGCTTTTTAAAAGTAAAAACTTGGGTCGTAGAGTTTGAGTTAGAATCCCTCCCAGTTCAGAAAATGTGCCCCGTGGGATTTCTTATAATTAAGACCTACGCCTTCTTTGTGGTCTAGTAGATGACCAATTTTTACATATGTGCTATGGACATAGGAAAAATACGTATGAGATGTATCTAATACAGTAAATGAAAGAAACAACTTATAACATATTAGACTAACCCATTTTTTTGTTTAAAAAGTAAAATACAAATGTCCATAAAGATATGACATACATAAGGTAGAAAAAATCTCTAAAATGCCACAGAGAGATTTACTCACAATTTAGCCTATTTTATTGTAGTAATCTTAGTTTTCAACATAATCACCACCATTTAAGTTATAAAACATAACACAATTGAAGCATTCAGTATAAAGAATGCATTATTACTTGGGAAATAAATTACAACACCATAATTTACATATTGGCCAGATTTCCTCTGTTCTCCAAATTGTTTATATCTTATATAAACCTCATAAACATTTGTGCACATGTTGTTCATTTATATAGGTATAGAAATAAGTATGGAAAATTAGATACCGAAATATCAACAGAAGCTATTTCAACATTATATGATTGACTATGACCTTTTTATCCCTTATTTTCCTTCTCAGTAATTCACAATTTTTGAAAATATTTTCAGTTGTTTAATTTTAAAAATTCACAATAAATATTTTTCTTTAAGTTACAAGTTAGCTATATGATTTGCATATGAATTTTTTCAGGCAGCCAGTACAAATGTTTTTGATAAAACATGGATATAAGAATAGTGAATGTAGGCTATCATGCTAAGTGAAAAAAGTCAGACAAAGAAACACAAATACCATATAATTTCACTTATATGTGAACTCTAAAGCATACACACACAGGCACACACACAGACTCTTAGATACAGAGAACAAACTTATGGTTGCCGGATGGGAGGGGGTTTTAGAAGGTGGGTGGAAAAGGTGAAGGGATTAAGAAGTACAAACTGGGACCAGCTGAGTGACACATTGGTTAAGAGTTGGCTTGGGACACCAGCTCTGAGCAGCAGGGCCCCGGTTGGGATCCCACATGAGGGCCAGTGATGCTGCTCCCTCTACAGCTAAGATGGTGAACAACAGCTTGACCTGGAGCTGGGATGCTGTGAGTCACTGGTGACAGCCTAGGCTGCAGCCCCTGCTGCAGTGGGTTGCCGTGAGCTACCGTGAGTGTCTGGCAGCCAGCGTGAGCGGCCAGCAGCTTCCGTGAACCACTGTGAGTGGCTGTCCAATGGCCAACAACTGATCTGCCTCACCCGGGAAGAGCGCAATGATAATACCAATATGGGCCAGTGAAGCAACGTCCTCCACAACTAGACTGAAGAACAAAAGGACAGCAACTTGTCTGTTCCTCTTCCCCGATTCCCCAACGTTGTTCCCCTCCCCCAATTCCCCAATAAAATCTTGGGAAAAAAAAGAAGTACCAACTGGAAGTTACACAATAGTCATGGGGATATAAAGTACAACATGGGGCATATAGTTGATAATATTGTAATAATTATGTATGGTGCCAGGTGGGTACTAGACTAATTGGGGGATCACTTCATAAATCATGAAGTGATTTATGCTATGCTGTACACCTGAAACTAATATAATATTGAATGTCAACTGTAATCAAAAAATAAATAAATAAACTTTAAAAAAGAATACTGAATGTAGCTGCTGCTCTTTATTTTCTTTTTTTTTAAGATTTTTTTTTAATTGGGGAATTGGGGGATGGGAACAGCGCTGTGGAATTGGAGGGAGGGGAACAGACAAGTTGCTGTCGTTTTTTGTTCTTCAGTCTAGTTGTTGAGGACGTTGCTTCACTGGCCCAAGTTGGCACCATCATTGCGCTCTTCCC